GGCAGCGCGGCGGATACTTCCTTGGCCTAAAACCCTCTCAGAAACGAGCAGAGGCCTGTGCCCAGCAGTGGGACGTATACAGGCTGTAACTTTACTAGAAACACGCTGCTGCTCATCTCCCGATTTGTTTCTGTGTGTCGCCTCTTACGATACCCATGGTACTACATGGGTTAGTGTATATGGAGTATATAGGATAATAATGGCTAAAATAAAAAAACTGCGGTTGCCAACACGCTCGCCAAGCGTGGCAACTGTGGCAAATATCCCCCTATGAGGCAATCTATGGGGGTTGCCTTTGTTCAGCAGTGGACTTAAATAGGCTGTAAAGATAACGGTAAATAATGCGTATTTACATCTTAACTATAAATAAGTTTTCTTTTTGATTTTTTTTTGCCCTTTTAACAAGACAAAAGAATATCACGTCGCCTAAATAGTTATATTGAAAACTTCGTCTCTTTTTATTTTCTGCAAATTACATGTGACCACACCTGAAGTTATAAAAAAGAATCTTCACAATCGGGTCTAGATTGGCGAGTTAGTATACATGTACAATATCGCGTAGCATATATACATAAAAAACATACTGTCGCATTGAGAACCTCTTCCTTTTTTGAAGTCGGCTAAAACATAAACTTAAGATAAACTCTCATACCCGTTACGGGTAGGCAGAAACTACGGACTTCCGTTGGCACGATCATGACACACCTCTTGCTTCTTTCACATCCATACCTTTAAACGAGCAATTCTTGTATATATATAATCGGAATCTCGGAAACGGCTCGAACGATTTTCATGAAATTTAGTGTCCTGAGGGTTTCGGGGGCAATAAATTGATTTGTATTTTTCTAGAAAATGTCTTTTTATCCGTATTTTCAGGCAATGAAAAAATGCTACAATATTAGTAGAATACGAAGGTAAATTTTAACAATGTGGTAAGAGTTATAACAGCTCAAGTGAGATATCGGGTCGTCACGAAATCGTAGTACCCCGGTTTGAGTCTAAGATGTCTTCGATCCGACTTTTTTTCAAGTTCCCTTATTTTGAGAGAAAATCTATTATTTGAAGCCTTTTTTTAGTATTTTTTTTAAAACACGAAAAATTAAATTAAGCTAATTGCACTCCTGATTTTTGATTTAAATAACCAGTTCAGTTTTTTCTATTATGTCAGTAAGACCGAAAAATATTATTCATATTTCATTAGTATGTAATTTGTATCTAGATACAATTTCCAAAAAACACGATTTCCATAAAAATACCGAGCAAAGCTCGGTCATCCAAGTACTATATATATATATATATATATATATATATATATATATATATATATATATATATATATATATATATATATATATTACGTATACATGCTCCTCGGTTAGGGTTACTTGAATAAGAATCTGGACAAAAATAAAAACTTCTTAAGAAGACAAACTCCAGCAAAATTTCTTACAATAGATTTTTTTGTTTCACATAGTTGACAAATGGTGAAACGATTCTTTTGTAAAAGAACAAAAATCTTTTTCTTCAACGCGAAGCGACAAATGTAGGGCAACTTAACAGAGTCACGCTAGCTGATCTCTGATTATTTTTAAATGATGACTTAACTTAATAACATTTACGCTTTGTTCAGTTTTCCAAAACTTATTTTTATTAAAAAATGCCCAATGGACATTTTTTATCGTCACCATCCGATTAGTCTGTGGTAGGAAAATAGTATGTTTCCAAAATAAATTGATAACAACTGGACGAAATGGCTTAAATAATTTTCACCGTATTCAACTTCGATCAACAATACGATTGTTGATCGAAGTTGTAGCACGAATCGGTCCGTTCGGCTCGACCGGGGAAGGACCACGCTGTTAGTGAATTCCAGCTCAAAATAGCAGCGTAATACTGCTGTGTTTTGTATGGTGAGTGTAGAGATCCGGAGAGCCTTTTTACTGGAAACAAGGCATTCCATCTTAGTCCTCAAGAATGACATTGTTTCTGCGTATTGATTCTTAATCGAGGATAAATGTAGATGTCTATGGGGCACAGCATCCACTTACCATCAGCTGGACTGTGTGCTCGTTTGTCACCCTTATTCTATAAAAAATAGCAGGTTCTAAATAACGTTGAATTGCAACGCTGAAAGTATTATCAGGAAAAAGAGAAGCCCTCTCAAGGAATTCTTTGCTCCTTATCTCAAGCTTTTGACACACTAAAACCATCTTAAAACATCGCTGCCTGAACTATAAAATAAACATACCTACCTACACAATTTACCGTTATGTTTACTATGATAATGTTATGATTATGTAAAGTTTTCGGTTAATTTCAAATACTTACCTACATTTGGTATATTAAATTATATTTTAGTTTAGAGAGCACTCCGTCTTTGCCTGGACGGAATGTATAATTTTCTTACGAAAACACTTCAAGATATTTGTATATAAAATATCTTAGATCGCTCTTGGCATTGCTGTCGAGCTGTTCGTACAGTTTCATCACAATCAATTCCGTGATTTCAAAGATTAGCTCGGGCAGAAAGATAGGCACACAGACAAAAATTTTGTAAACGGTTGTTTGTCTTATTGACTAATATGCAAAAAGTTTGCAAAATCCAAAAGTGCACGCCTCATAATGTCATTTGATTATATAAAAAGAAAAATATCTCTTTTTCCATATTTGACACGAAGGAAGACATCCATGAGAATATTTTTTTGTAGAAAAGTACCAGTCGTTTCATGTAATTACAATTAAACGAGACCAAATTACTCAGTGATTTTTAAAAGAAACTGACTTGAGATTCTAAACCTAATAAAAAAGAGTTATTTTGATAGGTACATTAATTCTAACGACCGTAATCGTACGCCGGACACCCTCGATTTTTTTCATCTGTTTGTTTTTACACTAAATACAGCAAATTACTTTTAAAAATAACAGAAACATGAAAACGAGTGATTTTTCTCGATATTTGTGTATTTTTATTATTCTAAAAGTGCAATAGTAAAAACATCAAGACATTTTTAGCTCAGAAAATTACTGGATTTCCATTAGGTCAGGGTAGAGCACAACCTCAACGTTTCGCTTATGAGGCGTGCTAACTCCCTGTTATTTGCATGCTTTCAAGACTTTAGTAGTTTAAAAAAGTTTAATAGTATTTATAATAGATGTCAATTTTATTTATATGCTCATTTCTGTATATAACTGTTATAAAAAAATTGTGCCTGTAATTATGAACACACATACTAAGTGAAACTACTTTACGACATATCATATACTTCATATCTATCTATACTCACTCAGCCTCGGTTTTTATATTTTTAATACCGTCTTAAACTCCACACGTTGTGACTGCGTCGATAAAGAATTTTCATTTCAAAAATTAAAAAATTAAGAATTCTATTTTTCTAATCAAATAACTGGTGCTATAGGTGGCCAGTGTGTAATAAAAAAATAATTACTTGCTGTGAAGCATTCTACCTTAGTCCTAAAAGGTGACAACGCATCTTTAGTTCTTTGTTACACATACTGCATTAGCTATAGACAAACAGGTGGACTGTAAGTTTGTTTGTCATTTCGATATATGAAAGTTCAGTATATTTTATTAAATGGTAGTATGGTAGTATTTTACGTGGTAGAGCCACGCTGCAGCTGTATTATGGATGCAGCACGAATGGGTCGACTCGACCGGGGAAGGACGCACGCTCTCACAGAATACTAGCATAAAATAGCAGCTTAATACTATTGTGTTTCGTATGGTGAGTATGGAGAACCGGAGAATCCTTTTACTGGAAATTATTCTGGAAATTATTACTGGAAGTTATTCTAATTTAGCTGAATTTACATAATAAGACATAACTGTGTGGGAGGTATAGATCAATTATCTAACCGTAGTCTGAAGTTTTGTAAGTAGGTGGGCATGATTTATAATTCAAGACCATTATTCTTGGTAAAGGTCCTTTTCAATTTCAAACGACGGCTTTTATGTTTGGATATTTTTGGAATTACCAAAAATGTTTATAACGTTAATTACTTTATTTACTTATTTATATAATTAAAAAACAAGGTGATAAACAAAGTAAGTCCACTCTAGTAACAACAGAATACTAGCAATTCCATATAATTTCCAGCAATCTCATAGAATATCAAAATGAATAGCAGCTTAAGGCTTTTGTGTTTCGTATGGTGAGTGTAGAGAGCTGGAGACCCTTTTTGCCGGAAAAGGCATTTTGATTCTTAAGGCCGCGTCGTCGTAAGTTCGCCGCTCACTTGATTCGATAGTTCGCCTCTCACTCGAACCGATACGCCTGTCGGAGGAATGGCAAATAGTCAGCCGCTCACTGTAAGCCTGTCGGGGACGCGGCCTTATGGAGGATACCATCATTTATCATCAGGATATCATCACTTACCATCAGATGATCTGTGTGTTCGTTTGTCACCTTTTTCCTACTACAAAGCACTAAATCCAAGGTTTATTAGCTGTCATTTAGTACAGCAGCAGTTAACTGAAATGGAGATCTAATTTGCCATTACACAAATTTTGTATTTTTTATCTGGTGTTATTTTTTTTTTTGAAGAATAGCAATAATTTGACATTTTCACAGAATACCTGCGTGAAAGAGCAGCTTTAAAACGTCCTTCCCCGGTCGAGCTAAAACATTTATGCTACAACCATAACATAGGTGCAGTATGGCTCTACCACGTATAAAAATTATGTGATTTGTGAAAATAGTTACTATTTATACCGTTATTTATAATCACGGGATGAAATGAGATATAGATTATGCCACCACCAAACGGAAACTGTTTGCAAAAAAATTATGAATAATATCATGATTAAAACAGCTGCATTGAGGGCTATCAGCGAATAAGGTTCAGAACTGCCAACTTAATAATTAAAAACACAACTATATTAACTTGGTTCGTAATAATTGACAGAAACAAAGAAAATGAAGTATATCAGATGTCTGTGTGTATAAATACAAAATGAATTCATATTTAAACTTGTTCCACAGTTGTTCCCCCGGGATCGTTAGTGGGTGGGCGGCCATCTGTCAGGGGCAAGCCGGAACTGCCGCGTGGCTCCACAGCTGGGCTTCCAGGTAAAATAAAATATCTAGACATCATTATATATAACACGAATCACAATATGGAGTAAGTAATGATTTTTAAGTTTTTTTTTAAGTTGAGTGGCAAGGGAACTTACAATAAAAACACACATTACAAAATAAACTTACAAACTTTGACGGCTCCGTGGCGCTATGGCTTAACAATGAGTGGCTGCGCTGGGGCCGCGGGTTCGAATCCCGCACGGTCAAGTATTTGTATGGCACACAAATAATTGTTCCTGGTCTGGATATTTGTTCTTGTGCAATTTATGTTTGTAAACTACCTCCACGATATAGGAGAAAATCCTAGTGTGGGGCAAATTTTTAATAAAAAAAGAAAAAAAGAAAGAAATCCGCCTGATTGGAAATGGCTACTGTAGTCTATGGACTACAAACAGTAGGCTACAGACGTCTTGTCTCCCTTAAGGACTAAAATTGAATGCTTTACATGCTTTAATTAAACTGGTTTTCAATACCCTTCATACTGGAGGGTGGTGGTTACCCAGACGGAATTCTAGACAGAAACGGTATTCCTATCACTTACCACGTGCATGACAATGTGGAAAAATATCTTGAAGAAAGCCATATTATTAGCATTGAAAAAGTCAACTCCTAAACCAAGGCCTTCGTAGATAAAATATTTGTATTGAAATATAGTAATGTAGATGCCAAAAATGTTTGGTATTCTTTTACACAATATTTACTTAGTAATTTATATTTAGTTGAAGTTAATGTTAATTTCAGTGTTATGTAAATAAAAGCTTAAGCATAAGAGCAAATTGTGTAGTGCCAAGACAAACAATATGATGTTTATAGGCACGAAGGAAAAGTTGCAGCCTATATACGTCCCACTCCTGGGCATAGAACTCCGCTCATTTCTGAGAGGGTTTTAGGGCAAGGAATTGTCCGCCGCGCTGCCCCAATGCTTCTTAGCGAACTTCACATGTCTTTGAAATATTTTTTTCTTATTTGTCAGAGATGCAGGTATCCTCACGATGTTTTCATAGGATTTAAAGTTTCAATTAACAATTTCATTGGTGCCGGCGGGAATCGAACCCGGTTTGCTCGCGTACTGTGAAATTTTCCGCGAGCACTAACCGCCTGAACAGATTGTACTGTAATTAAAACTGTTACTTTGTTGAAATAAATTTAAAAAAAATGTATCTCTCTCCCGGGAAGAACTAACAAGTAACCCAGCTGGGCTTTTCTAAAATAAAAGAACAACTTACAATCATAAATAAAGAAGATAGATTATAAAAAATAAATGACATTTGTGATTTAATTTATGCAGGAAGTCGATGGATGCAGGTGGTTTAGGATATTACTGACATTTCTTGGGGAAGGCCGTTCAGCACTGGACTAGCAAAAGACTGTATTGATGATAATGACAATGATTCTTTCACCACTGGTTCAAAAAAGCGCCTTGTTAGAAATTTCCAATTAAATCAAAAGTGTTTTAATCCGTCACCTGAGGTTTTGCTATTTACAATTGGCAAGACTGTTTTGTTTTGTTAAGTATTACCGTACTAAAAATTAAAACATAGTCACGTTTTCGCTATAAAGCTTATTCATTTAATACTTTGTTGTCCTTCAAAATTTGGAAGGCTTTTTAATACAGTTTTCATATTAATGGGATTAAAAAGACGTTTCAGATATCTAAATGTCACCCAGAAATTCATTACAATGATGGGAGCGAAAGAAAATTTGCGACCCCATCTCTTATCTACGAGTAGCTGAATTGAAATGACATATCAATATTCCATCATATCTCTTTGAATTTGATCGTCTACAAATTTCTTTAATACCTTGTGCTCTTTCAACTAAAATAAATTAATACTTTATGAACCGAACGGAAACCGAAATGGAAATTCAGCGGAAACAATTGTGGAAAGTTAACTAAGCTTTCCTGTCAAAAACTAAAATAAATTTCCTGACAATCTGCAACTTTCATACCCTTCAATCTTGAACGTAGAAGTGCATTCACTGTTGTTGTGATAAAACAGATAACAGGAGAACGTCTAGAAGGAAGGGGTAATACAGGGGCAGAAAGAGATTCCTATTAGCTAGTAAAATCTACTTTATCGTGCTAATTCTATGACAATAGATCTTATGTGACGAATCTTTAGGTTGTCTTAATTTAACAATGAACTTAACTAAAATAATAATTAAAATTATAATATTTACGATTAAAACTAATTATATACAATATAAAAGGTGAAACTATTATATAGAAAATCTAAAACTAAAAATTTTAATAGTCAAAAAGACCTGGTCCCCGTGGTATAGTGCCAAGAACGCTGGCTGCGTTTCCTCGCTAAATAGCTATACTTAGCCTTTGAGCAAGGAAAGAACCAGCCCTCTTATCACCAGCAGCGACGACCAATTGTAAATACAGTTCCTTTAGAAACTTCATTGCACGTGGACCCCACGGACCGATAGTCTCTACAGCAAATGGCACAAATATGTAGTCATTTCTCAAAGACTCATATTTGCGCCATTTACTAAATTCAGCTGCCTCTGATGCCGCCCCCGGCTCTAAAAGAGGTGTGGGGAACTTGCAACCTATACATAATATATAACATAAATATACATTCACACACACACACACGCGCGCATTTAACAAACTACAATTTACACTAATAACATAACATCATACCAGTTGGTCGACGCTCATAGGTTCGATCCCGGTGGTGTCATCGATTCCTTACCATATAAGGTGCTATCTCGTGAGGCAACGGCTGCAAGCGAGTGGCGGGAGCGCAACGCCTCCTTGTACCTTGATCAGTCAGTTACGTACTACGACGGAGAGAGGTTGTCGCTTTAGCTTACGGACGCTTGCTATTAAAATATTTACGTGTGTAATAAATCCTGTTAACTCTTTTCTCTTAAGCTTCTCTTCGCTTTTCTTTATATCTATAAGCTTGTTTCTTCTTGTAAGTGTTGCATTCTCCTTCTGACTATATAATTAGTGGTGTGACTTTGTATTTCTGTGCAATAAATGTGTTAGTGTACGAAGTGTTGAACATTATTTATCTATACACAAAACAACAAACTCCACACTCACTACAGAGGTACCCTTGAGATGAGAGGCCGCCAAAGTGTCAACGCAAGTAGCATCCCACACTAGGGCTTTACCTCTCTCCCAAGGGACCAAAGTCATACTGTCGGGTCTCTTGCCATCGTCTCTAAATATCCCGCAAGGCTCTAAAACCGAGGGGATATTTATGGAGACAAGAGCCCTTCGGATGATTTCGTTCAAAGAACCGTGACGGGAAAACCTACCTGCGCTTTTCTTGCATGAAAGTCCGTGGAGCCCAAACTCATCGACGCTGCTTCCACAGTGGCACTGGTGAGGTTGACAAATTGCCACTCCTAGCCGGATTCCTACAGCGATGCGCAAGCTTTCCCCATTAAGCAATGTGCCGAGATTACTTGATGGTAGAACATGTAACCAGTGGCTAGATTCCTTAGTCGAAACAGCTAGAAGGCAAGCCTGCTCTTGTTGACTGTAGAAATTTTGAAATAAATTTTTCTGGACACTCCGTACCAACGGAATATCCCACTGTTTTTGTAGATTAACTTCCAGTGGGACATTTTCTCCGGGACAGAGCGTGTTGGCCTTGCCTTGCCTCCGCAGCAAAGCACAGGTCTACTTTATTATTTAAAATTGTGTTACATAGATCATTGACACTATGCGCGGAAGCAAGGAAAGCAGGCAATGCGACGCTAGGTAAAGTGGCTTGATTCCAGGCTATTGTATTTAATCTCAAATTTAGAATTTTTTCTAAAGCAATTTTAAGAGTACTATCAATATTTTTTAAAATATCCGAACATTTCCAGACTGGACTTGAGCGTAACAAGTATGTAAATTTAGGTACAAGGAGACAATATTTTAAAATGGTAAGGGCCATATTGGGGTTTTAAAATTTGGTTTAATTAATTTGTTTTAGTATCGAAAAACAACGGAGCACGGAGCAGGTAAAGCGATTCCAAATTGACAGTTTTTATTCCTGGAGAAATCTGGTTGAAATTTTGAATTAAGGTATCTCTGTTAGAATTAGATAAATTATTAGAAATAAATATTTCACATTTATTGATATTTGGTTCAAGAACAATATTTTTAAAATTTTGAAAAATATGAGTAGGATCATTGAGGACGTCATCTGATTTACCTCCCAGTGTACCGTCGTCCAGATACCAGACATTCAGCTTGGATTTTAAATTTGAAATAATAGGTTGAATTTCCAAACTGAATAGAGCTGGACCTAATGGATCACCCTGCTGAACACCGACAGCAGACTCAATAATATGGTTTTGATAAAACAAATTTGAATTTTGACTGTAACATTGCCAAACGTAATGATATATTTTGGGGGTATTGTTAGCCACTTCTTTCAGAAGGGTTATCCTATCAATAGAGTTAAAAGCATTTCTAAGATCAAACTTCAGGAGAACATCTGCATTGGAATTAGTTAAGAAAGTACGCGCCGAATGTACCGCCGCCTCACAGCCACCTTTGGTGCCAAAGCCTAGTTGAGTAGGTTGAAATTTTGTCTTAAGATTTGAGATTATGTGCCTGCAAGCTAATTTTGAAGTTAAGCGTCGAAATGTAGAACCAACAGCCATAGGACGGATACCGTTATCCTTTTTTTTTTTGAAGGCACACAATCTTGCCCCATATAAGTAGGGAATGAAATTGGGATTGAGATTACCAGAAAGCATAAAATTACATAATTTTGTATACCCTACCGGCGTCACCGGCAGATACGCTTACAAGATCTTTGAGATGCTGAAGCGTAATCCCGTCAATGCCGCCGGCAGAGCCATTTGAAAATGACAATATTGCGCCTAAAGTGTCTTTTTCAGAAATTTGTAAAGGTTGCATAGAAGTATTGGGAGGCAGCGGTAAATTCTGGGAAGGGTTGACCGAAGGATGTTTCTGACGAAGGCCTTCAAGAGTTTCGACATTACGAGGAGCGAGGATGTCATCTGAGAATAGAATACGGGATGCATTTTTTAAGTCGCCGTCCATTACTTTTGATTCAACTACTTTTTTTAAATCAAATTTAGGATAAGGTCGAGAGAAATGAGTATTAAACGGGTAATCCAAATTTTGAAAAGAATTTTCTTTTAGTTGAGACGTAATTGATTTATTTATTGTTTTATTAAAATGAAAATGGGAATATGCGAATGTAAATAATTTTTGCCAATTCTTTACACAATTCGTTAGACAATTTTGAATAGTGAATGATAATGCTTTAGCAAGTTGCATCCTCGCACCTCCGGGAATTCTTTTAACCACTGGTACGTTACTATACAAATTGTATAATTGTTCCGAAAAAAGTGAAGAATTTGTGTCATTTGGTATATTACCAGAAGAGTCATGAATTTCTACTGTAGGCTGTGAAGCCGAAATATTTTTACTATGGCATCGTTTAATGTGTATATTTAATCCCTTTTTACCTTTAAACAGCCTACCGTCGGTACAATTTTGACACCGTAGAAAATCCGGCTGTGAATATCGGAGTGATAATATTCATAGAAAAATTAAAAAATTAAAAATATATCTACAGAACTCAAAAGTCTATAATTTAGTATAAATCAAAATCTTGAAAATTAAAAGAAAAACCTAGTTCTCGAGCTTTGTTTATCGCCTTGAAGCAATCTAATATTAATATTGTGTACGATGAATTACCAGGCGTTGCATCCTGATGTGACCTACAACTATAACCGCTTACAGTTGATGGTTTCAAAGCTTCTTTTGGTGACAATCTCAATAAATCACTCAAGTATCTCAATAAAAACGCGCCATTCGTTGTTTTCTTGGGATCAGAAGAAGTGTAGTGAACATTGATTTTGTTATTTTGACGTTGTTCTATTTTCTCATTTAATATTTCTTTAAAGTTCTCCCTGGAATTATTGTTGCAAAATAAAATATAGTCTTGGTGTATTCGGCCATCGTTGTTTCGTGTCATCACTTCAGGCAAACGAACTTGTAATTATATTATCACATATTCATTAATATTGAAATATATTATTTACAAAAAACATTATTTTTCGGACTCTCAGGAATAAAATATAAATATATTTTAATTAAAATATTTGGTTAAAATATAAGACAGTTGTCACCTAGAGATCTTATTGTATTCACAGGTGCCAGTCCACTTACGACAGCGCCATTGGCTGCTCCCCTCCATCCAGCAACAAGGCAGAGAGAACAAGCTGCACTTGCCCCACCTCCGCATGCGTGAGTACCTATACGTAGTTGATTACTTAGATTTTAAAAACCACTTCCATTTCGTTTCACTGAACATTAAAATTATCTTTATAGAACAAGTAAAGTATGAAATAGTATAATTGGGTTTTACTCCTATTTGTTACTTTAACGCCGAATTAAAATACCCATCAGTTACCACTATAGAGAAATTATTTGTAATATTATTTTAATAAATGGACGTAGTGGCACAAAAGGATCCAACTTACAAATAATTACTTTTGAAATATTAAATTTCGGATTAGTATTCAATGATAATGTCTTGGTTTAATTCGCCTGTTATTTTTCTTTTGTTATCTACTCTTGCTCTTATAAAGTTTTTACTATACTTTATATAGTAAAAACTAAAACTATAAGTAATATTATTAATCCTGAGAAATATTTTTGCATTTATAACAAAATTTTGGGTTGGCTCCTTTAAGCATAATTACTACGTCTCAATGTTCTTAGTATCCTTAATTTTTCCCTAATCTCTATTGCTGAGTACTTTTAATTTTATTAAAATTTCTGAAACTATAGTTTATTTATAAATTACTACTCCAAAAACTGTTTTAGTATCACAGCATTACCATTACTTCACACACACAGATACAAATCACGTGACATGAAGCCCATGCACAAAGTTTTAGCACACGTACGTGTTCAATTATCTGTTTGTGTGGACATGTCTCATATATATCAATTAAACGCTATCGATCGTTTAGATCGTTCTTGCGCAGGACGTCGACGGGAAGTGCAAGTTCTGGTGAGGCACCAGCGCCATCTCCAAGTCCTTCTGGTACCAGCCACTCCGACAAGGATCAAGATCCTCAGGTGACACCTCCATTGCTTTTTTTAATTCTCACAGAATTGTTAGACTTAACTACTTTGACTTTATAATTCACTAGCTGTTCCCCGCGACTTCGTTCGCGTGAAATTTATTACGATTGAATTTTTTTCTAAAATAAAAATAAGACTATGTTATTCCTTATAACATCAGCTATCTGCCCGTGAAAGTCCTAGCAAAATTGGTTCAGCTATTTCGGAGATTATCCGGAACAAACAGAAACACAGACAAAAAAATTATAAAAATTGTTTTTGTTTTAAAAATATTTTATATAGCTGTGCCCCACGGTTTCACCCGCGTATATCACGTGTCTGCGCCGTGCGACATGACATGACACCTCGCTCATTTAGTTCAATCATTTTGGCTAAAAAATTGGCAAAATTAATGTAATAAAAAATAAAAATATAAATTTCTTTGCAACTTTCCGCTAAACAGTTGCAAAGAAATTTATATTTTTATTTTTTATTATAATGGATTTCCGCAAAGTAACGCCTGATCAAAATTAATGTAGTACTTTTATTCTATCGGCATATGTATATTATACAGCAAAGTTAAATTGTATCCACTCTCTCTCTCCCACCCGGATGAATGCCCCAGAAAGTGCCCCAAAACGCGGTTTTTTTTCAGCTTTAAAGATAACTGTACACGGTACATGAAAAGTGTGGAGGTATGAAATGATCCATGATGAATTTTCTATCAACCTTTTATACATACGAAAGCAATGTCATATATAGTTTTTGCGCAAACTGCCACAAAATATGAATATTTCTTCTCAATAATCGATTTTTTTTTTGCTCAAAGTTTAGATAAATTAAAATTTCCAACTTTACCGCCAAAATGTGTATGACTATAGTAAAGAATAGAATATGCTCTTTAAAAAGACGTACAAATTATTTCTTAAATCTTTCATTATGATAAACTATTTATTTGAATAAGAATTAATACTACGATACGACTGTAAGCGACTTTTGTTTCGGCCGGTGATCAAATTAAATTTTAGAACACAAAAGCTACTAAAAGTAAAAAGTAAAGTTATAGCCTATATACGTCCCACTGCTGGGCACAGGCCTCCCCTCATTTCTGAGAGGGTTTTAGGGCAAGGTGTTGTCCGCCGCGCTGCCCCAATGCGTGTTGGCGAACTTCACATGTCTTCGAAATATATTTTTTTCTTATTTCTCAGACATACAGGTTTCCTCACGATGTTTTTCTTCACCGCCGAGCACGTGGTAAATCAGCACTTAAAATTGCAATTAACAATTTCATTGGTGCCGGCGGGGATCGAACCCGGTTTGCTCGCGTACTGTGAAATTTACAGCGAGCGCTAACCATCTGAGCTACCACGGCTCACAAAAGCAAGCTCAATAGCTACTATGACTTAATTATGATAGTTAGATATATTACTTACGCGGACTTTTTTGAAGGTAATAATGAGTACTTTAATCATGTAGCACATAATTTCTATATATATCATCAAGTTTTCTCAGCGCACGCCAAATAATGAATTTTATAGGCAAAAATTTGATACTTTGGGTTACAATTTTCTTAAAGATCTCCAACTTTTTTGAAAATAAATTATAGCCTATGTTACATACTTTGTGATAGTTTATCTTTCTATTAGTAAAAAATTATTAAAATCGGTCTAGTAGTTTTGGAGCTTATTTGGTACAAACAAACAAAAAATCTTTCTTCTTCATAATATTAAGGTATAGATAATGATTTTTTTGTTAATATTTTTTACTTATTTTTTTGTTATTTTTTAATTTTGATTATTTTATTTTTATTAGAAATATTATTATATTATTTGTAAAAAGATCATATCTACAAAACATAAATTTATTAGTTCAGAGCTGCCCTGTAAACTATATTTGATGTTGTTTTATTTTGTGGTAGCAACGTGGTGGCTTTTACGTGGTAGAGCCATGCTGCAGTTATATTAGTAGTATAGTTGTAGCACGAATGGGTCGGCTCGACCGGGGAAGGACCACGCTCTCACAGAATACCAGCGTGAAATAGTAGCTTGATGCTGCTGTATTTCGTATGGTGAGTGTAGAGAACCGGAGACCCTTTTTACTGAAAACGAGGCATTACATCTTAGTCCTCACGGGTGACAACGCATCTGCATTTTGATTCGTAATCGAGGATAGATGTAGATGTCTATGGGCCACAGCAACCACTTACCATCAGGTGGACTGTGTGCTCGTTTGTCACCCTATCCTATAAAAAAAAAGCAAAATATCTTCGGTATATGAGGTAGTTGATCCGCTGATAGGCCGATGATGGTGGTCGCTACAGTTAATTTTCCTTCATTACCTTAATAAGTAGCCTCATCCCATTGCACATACCCGTGGGGGCTTTGCAAATTTTAACACAAAAAGTAGTTATAGTGACATAACCGTAATAGTTAGACATATGGTATCACGGACTTTTTTGTAGATATTAATTTCTTCTATAAAACTGTAGTACATCACTTTGGTCTATTGTCAATAGTTTCCGCAGTGTATGCGATATAAGGATTCTTTTGGTATTTTTTCACGCCGCGGGTTACATTAACGAAGTTTTTATACGGATCCCTAACTTATTGAAAATATACCTATGATCATCGTTGATAATGTAGGATTTTAGGAAAGAATTTTTCAAATCGGTCGAGTAGTTTTGGAGTCTATTCAATACAAACAAACAAAGTTTTCCTCTTTATAATATTAGTGTTGACAAAGATTCTCGTTCAAAACTAAAATAATCGCCTCACTTTTGTAACAGACAAAACCCTTACAGACAAAAAACTAGTATCACCGCTGAAATTACTATTTAATACTATGGTTCAGATTAGGATGGTGGCAGTAGAAATTTGATTTTGCCGTGCGTTTGCCGCATAAAACACAACACACTGCATTTTATTTCGTTGGGACAGGTGATTAAGGAAAATACGTCTTTTGTTACCATAAATGGAGCAATCTCGAGTATATTTTAAATGTAAAGTACCCTAGCCGGTGACATAGAATAAGGTACGTGAGCGTAGTATGGTTACTTACTTATAGTACCTTAAGCTTTGCCGCCCTATAAAACCTAAATTAGGAAAAAGACAGAGACTAAAACAAAAAGAAAAAAATAGCAAACAAGCTCTGGCAATAATTAGGAAAACTTCGAAAAATCAACCTAAAAAACTAACAACTACACGAAATGGCATCGATAAAGCATCGCCCTTTTGACCCTTTATTATTTTATTGACTGATGAAGAGCTATATTATCACAGAGCCATTCATGGAAATAAGGCTGTGGTTTTTGAGTTACAAGAGAATGACTATATTAACCGGATGAACATATTAAACTCACGTACTGTAGTGTCAAACATAGGATACTATAATACATATATAATAGAACGGATGAGTGGGCGGAGCCCGCGTAGCCACTAACATGTCATTAACATATCAATTCACACGTAAAATGTCAACACAATCAATCGTTTCCAATATTCATGTCAAGAGTCGCTACATGTAAATTATTTTAAAAAAAAATGGCAAATTATGCAAATGTCGAAAGAACAGCGGGAAATGGAATTTAAATAAACAAGACATATTCTACAACCAGCAAGTCGAAACTATTTATATTTTGTGAATATTAGAAACAAAAATAAAGAAATATTTCTTAAAAACGCTAATCGAAAGTCTAAAATGTGTTTGTAGTAGTGATAACTGATAATACGACGTAAATGCTTGTATGTGTGCTCCCGGTGACGCTGATCCTAGTACAAAATAAGGTTGACAGCCATTCTAATGTGTAATTACAGTATTCTATGGTGTCAAAGGTGCAAAATCTGGTATTGCGATTGATAATTCGCCTGCTAAGTGTACACGTATAAATTGTATATATATACGAGATGAATTGTGACAAATCATTCTTAATATGGAGGACGCCGATATCCAGTAGTCCAGCAGGAGACTGCGAAGGGTTGATAATAAATAAGATGAAAAAATAATTTCAGCATGTTTGATTATTTTCAAATCGGTAATTGCAAAATATTAATGTGATATGCAAGATGATGTTGTGACCAGGATTAAGAAAGGATTGCTTCGGTAGTTTGGTCAGGTAGAAAGAATGAATGTGGAAAGAGTGACAAAGCAAATTTATATGGCAGATGTGAACGGCAGAGTCGGGAAGGGACGCCCTAGAAGAAAGTTTATCGACCAAATTGGCGATATATTAAAAATGGGCCAAATTAAGAGTACCCTTAACCGACGAGCATGTATGCGTAGGTATTTGGATGTGGAAGAGGCGAGGGAGGTATGTCAGAATCGTGCTAAATGGAAGTCTGTAGTCTCTGCCTACCCCTCTGGGTGACAGGCGTGAGTGTTTATGTTTATGAAAAAATAATTTCAGCATGTATGATTATTTTCAAATCGGTAATTGCTCATCTAGAATGTTTGCTTGTATAAACTTAATTCTAAAAATGTATTTTTTTCATATGAGAGATTTTTCATAGGAGATTTTTTGACTAACAAATGATTAGCATTTTATTTTCTTTTACATTTTCTGTGCGTAATTTAAGAATAATATTCGTAGAATTAGCAAATATTTCAAGCTTTAAATAAAGAACATTATGGTAATTGAAAACACTTCACTTTAAAAAGGAAAAAATAGAAAAGTTAGAAGAGGATAAAAAACGCCGCCTGCAGCTCTACGTATTCGTGTCAAGATGTATTGCGCATCCGTTCAACGCTAAACAACCCACAGACATGACCCGACGACATACTAAACTCACTCCGCACCAGCTTGAGACTATACAGGCTCGATTCCAGGTATATACTATTTTCTTAGCAATACATTTTTTTGGAATTAATTACTTAAGAACTATGGGTAAGATATTAAACTTTTTTAATTTAAAAATTTAATTATAATCTAACCATTTCATTAAACACAAGAACTAGATATCTCCGTTAAAATTTAATTCAAAGATATATATAGTATTTAACGTAATTAACGCACACTCTCAGACATCCCAATTAGTATATTATGTTATAATCATAATTCATACACTGAATTTTTAGTTAAACATTTTATGCACTGATTATTTATCAAATTAGTTATACTAATTCCGGAAGAATGTTGTGGTCACAGTACAAATACACGAACGCAAAGACTTTTACGTGCTTGAAATAAAGTTCATTTTTCTTTATTTTTATTGAATGACAGAATTAGTAATAATGCAAATAAAACTGCACTCTTAAAAGTCTTATTGCCTTAAGTTAGGACCATTTCAGTTTGTTTTAATTGTACAGATTTAGTGTGACTGTAATTTACGTAGTTTTAATTATTTTTGGGATAAAAAATTACCTATATTAAAAATTATCGATTCAGTAAACGATTCTGAACAAACTACTTTTTCAAAGTGCGTTAATTATGTTACATGTTGTATATATATACTATAAATGTTTTTGATTGAATTGAAACCGAAAAAATTGATTGAGTTAAAGAATAATGTACCGTTTAGAGATATCAAATTTTATAGAATAAAAACTATACATTGGTATAATAAGACTGGATCTCTAATAATGTAATAAAAAGACTGTCGAATTTAATAATTAAACCAAAATAATATGTTACAAATAGTGTTATTAATAAATTTTCTTCAGGCGTTCCTTAAAGGTGAAACACAGATTCTAGCAGACGAAGCGTTTCAAAATGCGGTGCAGTCCTACTACGACGTATTCCTGAAATCGGAGCGAGTGGAACAGATGGTGAAGTCAGGAGCATGTTCCCATCACGACTTTCGAGAAGTTTTTCGAAATAACATCGAGAAGCGAGTCAGGTTTGAGATATATTGCTCTAACGTGAATTTACAAAACAATAACAATTTTTACAGCTAATTTACATTCAGCTAGGTTATTATTTATTTGAGGGTAACCTTTTATATAACAATTAGTAAAACAGGCATATAAGAAATAATAACAAAATGCTTATAAAATTTATATTAAATTGTTTTTTCGGCTCAACAAATTTATTTTCCTTAGTATTAAGTAGTATTTTTAGATAGTATGTACATATTTTAGAGAATTATATATTTTAAGGATGATGGACACTATTTACTGGCGTTTGAACCTTTTAGAGTATAAGAAATATTTAGAGATATTCAATAATAGTAGCAGTTTAATAATAATTTTTATTATTTTAACCACTACTAACGGTCTATCAGTTACAATTTCCTTGTGCAGGTCTTTGCCCGAAATAGACGGATTAAGTAAAGAAACTGTGCTAACAACATGGCTTGCCAAATTGGACTGCATCATGAAAGGAACTGGTGAGAACAATTTGATTGATTTAGAATTATACACAGTCATAATCACAGAGACGAGAATCGTAAAGGCAAATCTGATCTTAACATTATCTTAAAGCATTACAGAATATTAATTCTAGTGATAAACGGTAAAGAAATTGTCATTATGATTCTTATTGTTTAGATTTTGTACGTTATATGTTCCAATGAATGAATCATCAGATAATGACTGAGCATGTTGCTATGTGTAACGCATCACTTGTTTATCGACTAGCTTCCCTGCCTTTGAATGTTTGTTATAAAACTAATCAGTGTGTTCATCAATAGTTTACCTTTGTGTCTGATATTTTAGTTCCATTTCTATCAATTAAGGATTTTGAAAAAAATCTAGAATAACGGAGCAAACATTGGATTTTGTTTCTCTCATTATTTTTAATTGCCTGAATCTTTGATTACATTAAAATGTTGGAGGTTTTTAGAAATACGGCTTTAATTGATAGACGACAATAAGTCTTGAATTTCCTTCAAAAATAAAATGAAACATTTTTGCATTATAGGTATTAGTTATATCCAAACCATATTAATTCAATAATGTATTTATTAAATTGGACTCCTTTGTTAACTTAGATATTATAGTTACGTTAGCAGTAACTAGTAAAGAAATTAATATGTTATCTTTTAACATTCTACTTTTTGATTGAACTACAAGAATACATTTATTTACAGGTTATTGGTAAAAAGTTAATGAGATTTCTCGCAACAATAACTGAAATGGAAAATATCTCAACGTTTGCATTTTTAATAATAATTTCATAGTTTATTTGACAAAGTAAAAAAATTTAAACTACAATTTATAAATATTTATTAAATGCTGTATAGTTGTTAGAATATCCACCATCCTATATCATCCCGTAGGCAGGTAGCGTCAGAAAAAACTCAGACAGGAGATTGGCAAAACTATCTTATAATGAAGTAATGAAAAAAAAAACTCATAACTACCAACTCGCCTGCCAAAGGTAGCAAATATTGGAAAACCCATAGTGAATTTGATGGGTTGTAATGAATTAATAAAAGAATGTTTAGTGTTACAGGCGTCCGAATAAAGCCGAACATAGTCTCAGGCTTTTTGGCGACCAAATTAGACGGCATCCGCCCGTATCCAGTTTTTGTTAGGCTTTTTGAATTTGACCTTTTTTATAGTTGTCATGTACTTACATACATAATATTAAAATTATTGAAATTAATATTGCAATGAATATTGAATGATTAATAATAAAGAAGAGTGATTCATTCAATTTTATTGTTACTTCATTAGAATTGAGGAAGATTTTATGGAAGATGATAAAAAGCCTTGTTTTACTTTTAAAAAATAATCGTGTCCAATGTCCGGCTAAGCTGGCTGGTCTGTCCGATTTTTTTTTATATTTTTTTTATTGAGCTACTACAATATAAAATAATATAGATATAAGAGTATCTTCTCACCATCATTAAAGCAATGTGTTGTACTATAAATAAATAAATAAATGAACAGCTTGTCCCGATAACAGTCCATTGCTGAATGATAGCCTTTTCTCGATAGGCGAATTCGCGAACCCGAGTAAAAATTGCTTTTTAACTTGGAACTAAAGTACCAATTAAACGAATATCTATGATTTTAATCGTACTATATTTTGTATATGCTATACCTTTGTCGTCTTTTGAAAAACTCACATTATAATATAAGATTGGATAGTTAATTCTTACACCATCACTATAGGTACATACGGTAAGGTTATGGAGATTGGAGAATAAGTGCAATATTAGCTATAAGCAAAAATTGTATTGATGCGAGAAATGTCAGTACTCAACATTCAAACAAATATCATTACCACCGATGTGCCGGAAACGTATGTCGCCTGCGTCTGTCTCACTCAGTGTTTCTGTCCCTCTTTTTCATAACATGTCTCTCTCACACACCCCGAACAGGAATAACAGGTATCACGCGAAGCCAGTTCATTGGTTTCTTCAATGTTTTCCACACTTCAGCTTGTGTCTTGTATTTTCGCTTCTATGTTTCTTTGTTTTGTGTTATGTAAGTAAGACATTGCTAAGGGCAGCTCTCTGTGTATTTCTGTAGAAATTCCTAACCTATTACATTTTATTTTAACATCATCACAAATTGCAGAGTGTTGCCCTTAGTGAAAAAATATATTGTATAATTTTAGGTCAGTTTTGATTAAATAATAAGTTGGTGTTGCCTTTGTGTTTAAATACCAGCTTAAAGATTGTTGAATCAGCTTTGTAAATATTTGCTTTGCTTATTTTCTTAAAGATGGCTCCGCAGGCGGTGTAAACAAAAGTTAACGCAAGTAAAATAGTAAATAAGTTAACGATAATATGCTTCTTACATAATCAGCAAATTGCAATAACAAATATTACAAAAATGTCTTTCAACAATGGTTCTGTAAGTATATATTATACTTTTATACTTATAATTGTATCTTAATTTAGTGCAACTTTAACAGGTTTGAAGTAAGTTTTTGCTTAATCCGATAGTAATCGTAATTCTTTTTCTACTTTTTATATCTAAAACTTTTCACAAAATATGTAATAGGATCTTTCACACACTAGTACAATTGAATTGAGATATACTTATATTCTTCGTGCTATGTATTAAATAAATTAGTTATTCTCCCTCTTCTATTTTTAAATTTGGCACAGGAGTTCTTTGTTTTATTATTATTCAACATTACACCTAAACTGACAGCGGTTTTTTATAAGAACAAAGGCATTTTTTTATTAATTTAATTTTGAATTGACTGTTTTCAAAGGTATTCCCGGAGATGACGAAACCAAACGGCCTTCGCGGGCGCAGCAACAGAGTCTTAATGCGGAATGCATCCTGAGCAAAGAACAGCTTTATGATATGTTCCAACAGATATTAAGTGTCAAGAAATTCGAGCATCAGCTACTTTTTAACGCTCTATTGGTAAGTTACGCAAACAAAACTGTCTAAAATTATAATTAAATATTAGATTAATTTTCAGACATAGATAAAATACAGAATACACCACAGTACCAGCAGAATACTTCTGTATTTCGAGTGTAGTATGTATTTTGTATTATGGGTGTAGAGAACCGGTAAACCTTTATATATTCCATTTTAATCTTTAGGTGTGACAACGACATTTTGATTTTTAATTGAGTATCTGGTGTAGTTCTATAAGCCACAGCATCCACTTACCACGAGGTGGAGTGTGTGCTCATTTGCCAACCTAATTCTGGCCGTGTGGTGGCGATGTAAGAAAAGCTATCACATAAATCTTATGTGTCATAAGAGGCAAATGTGAAAATTGTGAAAAAATCTTACAGCTTCCAGTAATAAATGTTGGTGTACGTTACGCCAAACGTAAAATAACAGTTCCGTTTACGGGATGCAATACGCAAGGTCCAAGGTCCAACATCCAATGTCCAATTTCAAATATCTGCAGTAATACTGAACTAGCTAACTTGTACGGCCTACTATGAAATTGACAAGGATATACTAGATTGAAATAAAATACTTTCTGCATAGATGATCGGTTAGCACCTGGCGATTCTACTATTTTAATTGAAAAATACACTTTCGATTTAAAAAAAAAAACGGTAAAAACAATGAACCCAGAATTTCTAGCCGGTTTTCCTTTGTAGAGGTCTATAAGTAGACCTATATTGAAAAAGAGGTAATATTCATTGCTATGCAGATGACAGCTCTGGTGGTGCCTTATACACCGGCCGTGCCAATATTTCTCAGAAAATCGTCGCGAGTACCGGGACAGAATTGTGTCTGAAGTGGAGTCTTTGCTTACTAAAATCTTGGATTGAGGGCGACTAATTCTAACTCAATCACCAGAAGACACAAGTTTGTGCGTTAACCGCTAAAAAGAACCCCTTCGTCGTATCTTCTCAGTTTGAAGGCACTCCCCTTGCTGCCTCAACTAGCATCAAAATCCTCGATGCCGACATATCGAATAGTGTGCATTTCGTGGTCACTTGGAGTGGAAGGCCAAATTAGCCTCTAAAAAGCTTGGCGTGCTTAGCAGAGCAAGACATCGCTTGCAACTTTACAAAGTGCAAGTTCGGCCTCAGATGGAATACTGTTCTCATCACTAGGCCGGGTCACCCCAGTGCCAGCTCCTTCCACCTGACCGCATCCAGCGCAGAGCGATTCGAATCGTCGACGACCGAGTTCTTTCTGATCTGCTCGATTCACTGGCGCTGCGTAGGGATGTTGCATTCCTTTGCGTTTCCTATCGTATTTCACGAATGCATATCGCGTAAAAATTCCCGATACCATCCTGACCATCTGGATGCTTGGCAGTCCCTTACTGTATGTTTTACTAGGAATTATCTGACTTTTCCGGAGCGGTAATACTTAGAGATCTTCAAGAAAACAGCTTACTCCTTTCTAAAAACTCGACAACGCATCTGCAATTCCCTGGTGTTGCGGTTTTTCATGGGCGGCGGTAGTCACTTACCAACGGGTGAGCCGAATGTTCGTTTGTCCCCTCTTCTATAAAAAAAACATACATCTTATACTGTGAGCACCAATCGACCTGAAAACTTTGCTTCTTAAGGCAAAGCAAGCCATCTAAAAAGGGTGAGGGTAATATCCAGCATTTGAATTTAATGGTCTAATTAATTAATTTCTTTATATGAAAAAAGCCGTAGTAACTCAGGGTCTAAGCGCTCCAAATTTCTCAGCATGCGAGCAACCCGAGTTCAATCCCCACCGGCACCAGCGAAATTGTTAATTGTATATAATATGATATAATTTAAGTGCTGCTTTACCACGTTCTCGACATAAAACATCGTGAGGAAATCTGCAGGTCTGGGAAATAAGAAAAAAATTATGACCACACGACTGAAGTAAAACTTCTTTAGCTCCATCTGTGTGTGTATATATATATATATAGTGCTCTAAATATTTTATTTCTCAGACATTTAGCTTTCCTCACAATGTTTAACTTCACCACTGGGCATGTGTAAATCAGCACCTAAAATTGCATTATTAACAGCGTCATGGGTGCCAGTGGATATCGAACCAGGGTTTGATATCCGCCGGCTTGCGTACTGTGAAATTTACAGCGGGCGCATCACTCTTGAGCTACCAAGTCTTCGTGACTTCAGTCTAACTAGCTGAAGGTTATTTCCTATGTTATCACGTGAGTTATACATTCGGTACAGTAGGGTTAAGTGCTTCGTGAACTACACCATCATTTATTATAACCTATCAAAAGTTTACTGAAGAACTGTTCTTGAGTGGCAATTTCGTACCGGTAGGCCAAATGTAGGGCGGCCCCCTACTAGATGGAGTGACGACCTGATAAGACATGCAGGAAGTCGATGGACATAGGTGGATGTTCCTGAACGTTCTTGCATGGCATTCTTAGGGGGAGGCCTATATTCAGCAGTGGACTTGTGAAGGACAGTAATAATCATAGTGAATGATGATGCGATTGGTAATGAATACTTAATAATCTATTTTGTAGCTTCATTGCTCATAAGACAAAGTATCTTCTTTATATTATAAAAGACACGGATAATATTTAAAAGCCCTTGTTCTACATTAAACTATAATGAAAGTAAGAAACTCAAAGAAATAATTTACGTAGACAGAAAATAATTTAGTAGTAATTTAAACAAGGTCGTATTAATTTAAACAGCAAATTATGAGCTGAAAATTTCGGGAATCAAGGAAGTGACACAACATTACTATTTAAAAATGTATTTATTGCTTTTCGAAGTATTCTCCGCGAAATTTGACACATTTTTCCATACGATGGAACCAATCATTGAAGCAACCATTCCATTCGGAAGTTGGGGTCTCCAAAATGGCCATTTTGTAGGCGTCCACAGCTTCTTCAGGTGATGAAAATCTCTGTCCACGCAATTTATTTTTTATTTTAGGGAAAGTATAGAAATCATTAGGGCTTAGGTCGGGTCTGTACGGCTGATGGTCTAATAATTCTATGTTTTCTTGCTCTAAAAACTCTTTTGTTCCGTGTGCGGCAAATTTGGAAAATTGTATAACGTTTATAAAGTCAAGAGAAGCTAAATAAATTACGATAATACACGTTTCAGTATATAAGATCAATTTCATTAAAATTCTTCACTGTTTAAAGCCATTTTCGAGTGTTTTGCACTAATCATTAGGTGGACTCCTATGTATCACTTTTATATTACAAAAACATGTGAATGTAATTTAAGTAAAGTTACAGCCTATATACGTCCCACTGCTGGGTACAGGCCTCCCCTCATTTCTGAGAGGGTTTCAGGGCAAGGAAGTGTCCGCCACGCTGCCCCAATGCGTGTAGGCGAACTTCACATGTCTCCAAAATATTTTTTTCTTATTCCTCAGACATGCAAGTTTCCTCACGATGTTTTCCTTCACCGCCGAGCGCGTGGTAAATCAGCACTTAAAATTGCAATTAACAATTTCATTGATGCCGGCGGGGATCGAACCCGGGTTACTCGTGTTCTGTTATATTTACAGCGAGCGTTAACCACCTGAGCTACCACGGCTCAGATTAATTTTGGCGACTAATTTTGTAGATATGTACTGAATGAAACTTCCATATGACATATCATTCTTTGTGTATTTTATATTTTACATAAGTAGGTTAAATAATACTCATGTAGCCACGGCGGTCAAACGTTACAAGCAAACGTGACGTTTATGTATTTAATACCGTAGCTACTAAATTTCTCCACGCTGTCGTTAAAGAAGTTTCAGTTCAAAACCTACATCCATCGATTTCCTTCTATCACTTGAGATCGTCACGTAAAGAAATCTGAAGGCATGATAAGAGTTTTCTAAGTAGCTATGTTTTATCATTAACAGTTGGATTCAGCGGACGAGCAGGCAGCAGCGATCAGAAGAGAGTTGGATGGGAGAATGCAGAAAGTGAATGAGATGGAGAAGGTAACTCCTAACGAAAATTAAAATTTAAAATTAAAATTATAAATTAAAACATAACATTTGTGAAGTTTCTGAAAAAAATTACAAGACTGTGTTAGAAAATAGATACGCATTTCTTGTTAACAGAACCGCAAGTTGATGCCGAAATTCGTCCTCAAAGAAATGGAATCGCTGTACATCGAAGAACTGAAGTCATCTATAAACCTTCTTATGGCTAATTTGGAGTCCCTACCCGTCTCTAAAGGCGGGGCCGACTCCAAATACGGCCTACACAGAATCAAGCGGTATAATCACAGGTCAGTATCTATTAATATGTAAAGAAACATCCTATTATCTGTTTTATAATTGATGCGATTCGATGACTGAGTAAATTTCAAGAATATATAACATAACAATATTATTATAGTTGATTCACTTTTGAAAAATATATTACAAACTTAAAAATTTTTGATAAGAAAAGAAACTCAATGCCCCTGTTGAACTGTTGTTTACGAAGACTTTTACTACGACTTACAGTTTTTATTTTTTAATTTGTAATCTTCGAATTGCACCAATAACAATTGTGTTGCCTTATCACAGTTATTTATTGTGTGTGTGTGTGTGTTTTATTGTATTGTCGCATTTCGTATCATGGTCAACAAGTCATTAATTTCATCTATGCTCAATGTTGTCGCGTTAAATGAGATTGATAATGGCAGGTTGTGCTTTGTCAATGTCTATCGGTAAAAAGCCCTCCAAACGTTCGGATACATTCAGCGAATAGACGCAAACACGAATGCGTGGAAGGCAAATTTGCCATTAATCGTCAATTTTAACCAATGTTCGGCGTTATTCGACGGTTATATTCATCATATTGTCGGTTTTTAAGCGCAAATCAACGGAGTTCGCCGAAACATTGTACCAATCTCCACACCATTGACGACGTCCAACCCTAACATCGCTTATTTATTTTTATAAATACAACTGTTTGTTTAAACAATACAAACATTCCCAACAACGTCGAGAATTAAAAATAAGTTAAATTAAACGCGATAAAATCGATAAAATTTGTTTTATTCAACAATTTTATTCCCCTGGTGTTGCGGTTGATCATGGGCGGCGGTAGTCACTTAACATCAGGTGAGCCGCATGCTCGTTTGCCCCCTCTTCTATATAAAAAAAAACTATTCCTTTTAAATTTTACCTTAGCAATACTAATCTTGTTTAACTCCGATGAATAGTCGTCATTCACCGCCTTATTTTTCTGTATCTATTTGTTTCAAATTTTATTGCAATACAAATTTAAATAATGAGTATAAGCACTGATCAAAAACGCTGCAGTTCAATTGCCTCAACGTCTATCGTAAACAGTCGCAAAAATGTAATTTAATTAAGCGATTGTGTGGATGGCTGTACGATATTGTACACAAATATAGTCGATATTCACCGCCTTTATTTTCCTGTATCTTGTTTTATTTCAAATTTGTTTTATGTTTTGCAATACAAATTTAAATAATGAGTATAAGTACTGATCAAAAACGCTGCAGTTCAGAATTGCCTAAACATGTCCATCGTAAACAGTCGCAAAAATGTAAATTAAATTAAGTTCGATTGTGTGGATGACTGTACGAGTATTGTAGGCACAAATACTCTTACTTTAATGCCCATTTGGCGAATAGAGACGAACGTCTGGAGGCGCTTTAATAATACACGTTAAAGAACTATAAGGATTAAGGATTATTACTATATTACATGAATCATCCTAAAAATTTAAATGTAATTCTTAAAATAAACACTATCATAGTGTCCTTAAACATATGAAAACATTACTGCAATTCTGCAAATAACTACAAACGTGTTAAAATATGGCAATAATGTTTTTTAAATAAATTGTTTCAAAGAATTATATTCTTCGTTCAAAAATAGATCTACTAATAACCATGAAATATAAATTGTATTAATTATTTAATTTCCTCATATAATAAACAAATTAATAATATTAAACAATTTTTTCTAACTCTAGGACCATATAATTTAAAAAGTGAAGATGTGAACCATATATAAACTCATAATTAAAAAAAATTGTAATAGAAATTTTTTAAAAATTTAAAAAAATAATTAAAAAAAATTGTAATATACGGGGTTATTTTACAATATATTTACACGGGTTTAGAGTAAGTAATATAGGCAAATGTTGAAGAAAAATTAATTGAAAAATCTCAAGCAATCTGTGCTTTTATGAATTTTAAATTCAGAGAGAATTTTATTACGCACGCACACATTCGTAAAGGTCGCTCGGTCGGCAAAAACAAATCTCACTCAATTTGGGATAAGTTAAAATAAAAGTAGAGGCCGTATTTACTCGTATGTTTAAAAACTACAATAGTGTTACATCATTATTTATATATTTGAATTTAAATATAAAATTTGGATAATCTTTAAAAATAACCCTGTATAATGTCCATAACTTCTTTATTTCTTTTTATATTTTATAAAAATAATAAATATATTTATTATACTATTAAAACGTTATATTGACAACACTAAAATTTAGTATTAAAATTCATAGTTAAAGTCTAAGTAGAATTAAGAAATAAGAGAAATCCCGATTTCAGGATATCGAACTTATAATTTATGAGTACACTCTCACTGTTAGCAAGTACAAAACCAAAACAATGCAAATACAACAAAAATGTAAATCGCTCTAAATCTTCATTTCTTTTCTACTTATTGATTTTTGTTTGGTTTTCTGTCCCTGGCACAAATCCGGACGGTAAATAAAAGGAAGTACAAGTAATGAATACATCAAAGATTAATTTGCGCACGTGTCTTGTGTAGCGGGATCCCTGTACACCACCCCGTAACATTTTTATTCAATCCTGATGTTGTCGACACAGTACCTGAGGACCACTGTAGATTTAGTTGGAACAACTGAAAGTAGTTTTATTCTAAGTATACTAAAGATACCTGAAGGATGACATCCCTAAAAAGAAATAAATGGTATTAATAAATTTAGTAGCTGGTAACACTTGTATAATTTTTAATAAATGCACTTTGCACAAAAAACCTGTACAAGTTTTGTTATAATATATTTGATACAATTTAATCGAGTAGCAACAAGATTTTGAAAAAGCTACGTTTTTATATCTATATAATTAATACCATTTCGATTTAAAAATCTTATATTGCTATAGTACCACTACGTGAGGGCTAAAAACTTGATTTCATTGTAAGTAGAATTTTTTTAGGTTATCTAAGAAAATTTCTACTTTACTTTTTTTCTCTTTTCTTTTTCCTTTTTTATTGATTGCCCAAGGCAATAAATAAAGTACTTAAAGTATTTTATTTGACTATCATTTATTGGCAATACTGAGAACAACAACCTAATATTCTCAACAAAGAAAAAACTTTTAATTTGAAAATATATCCTTCAATTATCTTTCGATCTTCAAACTGTTATTTACGTAACTGATGAAAGCACAACAGATTTAAATAAAAATATGACTTTCTAAAAGAAATCTAGCAATTTTTTATCCCAATTAACAAGTGGTTCAGAGATTAAAGAGAAATCTGATATTTATGCCTTCATTAGTTACATTACGCTTTTAATTATAACGAATGATACACAATATGAGGTTAGATGTAATTGTGACCTCAGTATTGATACCATTAAGGAAGACAACAAAGGATAATTTATCGCTTCCACAACACAGCCAAAAGATTTATTAGCTTACTAGAAACTAACATAACAAGTAGAGAAACTAATTATATTTGGCTATAACTTTGCTACTAAATATTACTGGAATAAGCTTTAGCATAACTTTAGTCTGTAGATAAATCCAACAATAACTACGAAACTTATGAATAACCCTCAATAACAAAAGCTTATGATTATATCCTCACAGCTTGTCTCTTCACTTCATCCATCAATATTTTATCCACTTTAATTTTATCCCTTTCTCCTCACACTTATATACGTTATGTACATAAAATAATGAGGAACAAAATCAAAATAATTAGGTATATTTAAGATAGCTTCGCGCTTGTTTAGGGCTTGCTTAATATAATATCAGTACATAGCAACCATCATACTTCACTCTATCACAGTAAGCTTTAGTTTATGCTTTGTAATCTATAAATGTTCAAAAAACTATGTAACATTTCCCTTTGCAATGCTTAATCATTCTTGGCATCGGTGATGGTTCCATTTTGTACGCCACCATGCATCTTGTTCCATGGGCTTGATTGAATGTTGGTCCCGAATCCTTTTGTTAAATTATTAAAATTTCAATTGTTATTCTTGCTTGATTAACATGTGATGGATCCTATGTCCCTTTGTTATGTCCAACTGTGAATCTGTTAATAACTCTTTTAACATTGTTAAATATCGTAACTTCACTTGACTGTTAACTGTTTTGTTGAAATTAATATTTAAATGTTTACAACTCCCTTGTTCAATAATATTTGACTTGTTGACATTGTGGTGGTTCCCTGGACGAGACAGATCAAATGCTGGAACAGATCCGAGCCCAAGGTTGAGTAAGCAGCTGTGTTTCAGATCGCAAGGGTCTCTAGCGAACAAGTTAACCGGCGAGAGTGACGGGGGAGACGTGGACACGCAACTCACGAAAATGGATGTGGTTCTAACATTCCAAATTGAGGTAACCATGATGAATTGGTGTTATGTTGAATTTTACCTACCTACTGATTTGACCGATTGAAATTTTTTTGAATTTTGTCGGTGATAGCTATTCAAAGCGATATCATTTAAGAGGTTTTTATTTAGATACGTTTTGATGTTTCAAATATACAAAATATTAAATATGGATTGTTTTTACGCAACTTTGCGTAAAAGAGCTGCATTGCTGGGCCAGCCCCAATGGCATTCTTAAAATGATAGGTGACAGAGTGAACTGCCCCTATCTGCATCATTGTTGTAGACTGCATATAAACAAGCACTCCAATACTACATATAGCATAGCAAAGATGTTGAAATCGTACTATATATATACGCATATACAGAACGTATTATAGACTATTAAAATATCAAAATAGGCGTTTAAAAATCTATTTACAAGAGATTTAATTTAGTGTTTGGCACTTTAAGGGTACGTCCACGAAAAGAACATATTTTACTTTCCTGTAGTTTAAAGTTTTTTTACACCACATTTAAATTTAAGTGTATGTAATTTAATATTAGGAGCTATTTACAGAATTTATTAGAACATTTTTAATTATTTTGTGTCTATTTTTAATCGTAATTATGACTATATTGATAACTTAATAAGCAAGAATGAAAGAATTTTAAACGTGATAAGCCATGCTGTAGCTACATTAATTGTATAGTTGTAGCACGAATGGCTCGGCTCGACTAGGAAGAACCACGCTGTCACATAATACACAGCATGAAATAGCAGCTTAATGCTGATGTGTTTTGTATGGTGAGTGTATAGAACTGGAGACCCTTTTTACTGGAAAAGAGGCATTCCATCTTAGTCCTCACGGCTGACAACGCATCTAGATTTTGTTTCGCAAACGAGGATAGATGTAGATGTCTATGGGTCACAGCCATCACTTTCAAATATTAGGTCGGGGAAAAAGTTTCTTCGTATTTTATATATAAATTCAAGACTTTTTTTTTCAAAATTTAATTACATTTAATTATAATATATATGTGTGTGCCATTTTATTCGATAACTTGTTGCTATCTTGTAGGTAGTGCAATAATCCTGTTGCTGTGGAAATCTTGGGAATTTTGATCAAAAAAAATGCGACAAGTAGTTTTGACAGTCCCCTCTTGATGTTAACCTAACACTACCCAAGGAATTCCGAAGAGATCGAAACGTGAAAATCTGAGGGTGTAAGGTGTCAATTTTTGCTGATTGGCCAAAAATGTATGTGACATAACGTTATCATGATGTAAAATCACTCCTTTTCTGTTGATCATTTTCGGCCGTTTTTAATCAATTTCTTACTTGAGTCTCATTAGTTGTTGGCAGTAGCGATCCGAATCGATGGTTTTGCCCGGCGGTAAAAGCTCATAATAAACGTCGCCCTTCCAATCCCACCGTACACAGCATCACCGTATTGCCTGTTAATAAATCCGGGTTTGGCTACACTCTGTGGAGCTTGACAACTCTTTGACCATGATCTTTTCCACACGTTCTTGTCGTTGGTGATCCACTTTTCATCATCAGTGATCAATCTTTTCAAAAATAGTTCGGTTTCATTACGTTTCGTTCAATGTGCTCGTGTGGTACACATATATCGAGTTTTAATGTATAGCCAAAGTTTTTGAAATGGGTTAAAAATATTTTGTGGTCAATCCTCAACTCCTCGGCTATGTTGTAACTCTATTCCATATTCACTACTTGCCCAATGTAATGATCAAATTTTATCCTATTATTTAAATATCATTAACGTTTTGTTTGACATAGGCTTTGTTCCTGACTCTTGGACTCAAGTAATTATTCCTATCTTGAAACCTGACAAAAATCCTAACGACGGCTCTTCCTATCGACCGATCGCTCTATCCTCAACTCTAATTAAAACCTTTGAACATATGATCAAGAACCGTCTTGAATGGTATGTAGAAAATCATGGATTGTTATCAAATACTCCATATGGATTCAGAAAAGGTAAACACATATGGCAGTCTTTCTATCTTCACCACAGATATTAGATTAGCATTTTCGAGAAATGAATCCTGTCCCTGCTGCTTTCCTTGAAATTTCTTGTCTGTCGATCTTGCTCCACTTTTTCAAAAATAGCAACGACTTTACCCGTATTAAGGCGACCAAAGCGAGCTGCATCTTTGAGATTAAATTTCTCTGACTGAAAACGCTTGAACAAACTCTGTGCTATTCTTACTGACATTGCATTAGGTCCATAAATATCACAAAATTTTTTCGCGGCTGGAGTCACATTTTTTTCCTTTTTGTAATAAAACTTCAGAATGTATGGTAGTCTCTCGTTAGATTCGCTCTTTTTGGCGGACAAAAAAACAATTGAAAAATGGTGGGAAAGTGTTTTTTACTTTTTATATTTCTATTTCTATCATACATGTATTGATATTAAAACCAGCCAGATACAAACATTACAACCAAAGAGATTTTTCTTCAATTTTATACAAACAAAATACGAAGAAACTTTTACTCTGACCTTTTTTTATAAGATAAGGGTGACAAACGAGCACACAGTCCACCTGATGGTAAGTAGTCCATTGACATCTACATCTATCCTCGATAACGATTAAAAATGCAGATGCGTTGTCACTTTACTACGAGTAGTAAAATGGGTCTCCGGTTCTCTCCACTTACTATACGAAACATAGCAACGTTGAGCTGCTATTTGACGCTGGTATTCTGTGAGAACCTGGTCCTTCCCCGGTCGAGCCGACCCATTCGTGCAACAACTACACTACTAATATAGCTGCAGCATGGCTCTACCATGTGATCTATTATATAAATGTATATTTGTACAAAAAAAAAATAGATTTGAACAAGCTATACTACCATAAAATATCACTGTTTTATTTACTGGGAAAGTGTACTCTTCCTGCCATTGTATATTTTGTATGTATATTCTGAACTTTGAAAACGTTCAAAGTGCGATGATGGTAGACTGATGATGTGTGAGTGACATCTACGTTAAAAGTAACGCTAACGCTAAGCTAACGATCGGAGAAAGAATCGTGTATATTAACTGTTTTTATGTTCCCCACGTTTCGAGCACTTTTAAGCACTCATGGTTACGGAGGGACTGAGGTGTTCGACGTCCCAACATGATAATTAACCACGCCTACCTCCAAATTAAAATTATTAATTTTTATTCCGATCTACGCAGTATGAACTTATATACCTTGAAGTCTTTCAGTTGTAGGTTGGGATTTCATTTTATTAATTGTAGTATCCCAAGCAGATGGTCCCCTGATATTGTTAATTATAAGTAGTTACGTTGTACCAGTTCTGGCGCACTTGTAGAAAGGTTGTACCAGTTCTGGCGCACGACGTTCGTCGACTCACGATCCTAAAAAAAAAAAAAAAGTTTTGGCATGCTCTGATCACGAATCTGCGGTCCATTTTTGCGTAGGATGCACGGTTCCGGAGATGTGCAGATCAATTAACTCTTATCTAATTGATATCCGCTGCGAGCCTCAACCGCTCCATTATTATTAGCGCTCCATTGTCCTTATCTACTTATCTATTGTTGATTGACTACCGTCATTATCTATTATTCGTCCAGCGTGTGGGTCGGCTTATGCTATTGTATTATACTCCTTTGTTCCTATCTACAACACTAATCTGAATCATCAATAAAACACATTACCTAAATTTGTTAAAATTTTTATTTATAAAATACAAAATCTTATTTATTACTTATTATCTATAAAATAGGAGCGAAACATCTCATCCACTAACATATCGTTGTACAATGTGTTCTCTGTAAATATACTCGTAAAACTATGCATTGAACATCCCTGAAACTTATATAGCAAATACATTAAGCAATATTCGCCACAAACTGAAGTCCTATCAACATTCCAGTTCCAAAGTTTGCGAAGAGTTGTTGCATCTCTTTGCGTATTTTATCGCATCTATCACGGGGAGTGCTCTGAGGAATTGTTCGGATTAATCCCAGCCGCCAAATTTCGTGAACGCACTACACGGCAAACGTCCCGATACCATCCACACCATCTGGATGCTTGGCAGTCCACCACTGTACGTTTCAAAAGGAGTTTTCTTCCGCGTACAACCTCTCTGTGGAATAATTTACCACCGGTGATTTTTCCAGACCGATACGACCTGGGGACCTTCAAGAAAAGAGCTTACTCCTTTCTAAAGGGCCGGCAACGCACCTGCAATTCCCCTGGTGTTGCGGTTGATCATGGGCGGCGGTAGTCACTTAACATCAGGTGAGCCACATGCTCGTTTGTCCCCTGTTCTATAAAAAAAAAAAAATCTTTTACAATTTCGTACAGGTGCCCGTCCATATGAATCAAAATATTCACCGACGTCATTCGTATCGATATATAAAGCTACCCAATGTGACCCTGGTTTATCATCTGTATCCAAATTGCATATTACCTAGTCAGGTCATAAATTCTATCACATGTTTAATGTAAACTAATTGAAACAAGTTTATTCATTATGTAACCATTTATATACCAAAATGAACTTAACAAAACATAGATTCTTATGACACTATAGTTTATTCAAAATGACCTCCGTAATTTTGAATACAGGCCTTCAATCTGCGCGGCCAGTCGTCTATCTCACCACGAACGAGGTCCATGTCATATCGGCGGCTGCCTTAATTAAAGATGTCTTGAGTGACTCGAAATTGGGATGAGGCTTTGAGCACGCCTTTTCCTCCAAGTGTTACCATATCTTGTAATCTAACGGATTCAAATCTGGACTGGTCTTTGTGTCGGATGAAGTCGATTTCACGCGCCGCCAGCCAGTCTTTTTTTTTTGTTTTTACAAACACAAATTTCACAAGGACAAACATCCAAACTCGGAACAATTACTTGTAGGTCGTACAAATACTTGTTCCGTGCGGGATTCGAACCCGCGACCCCCAAGCGCAGTCACTCATTGCTAAGCCACTACGCCACGGAGCTGTCAAAAGTCTTGTGTGCTCTTCGCTCTATGAGCTGACG